GCATCTCTCTTTCCCTTGTGGGACTTGTTGCCACTAGGATTGTCATGTTGAATATCATCGTGAGTCCAGTGTCATTTGCATGACTGACAATAATACCTTATACCTTGGTTGATTCAAGTTGTAGTTGTTAAAATAGTATAATTTTGTACCGAACTAACAACCGATGACATTGTCTTGGCGGAGGAGGAGAGTCAAGGTACTTCATTGCTCTCAATTTGTTTGAAGCCGTCAGACAAAAACTAAAGTAATAAATTTTAAAAAGATTGTAATCTCTACCTAATTTAGAAAATTTAGAAAATATAAGTAATGCAACTAGCTACTACGGCCTATCAGCAACATTTTGCTATGTATTGGGATAGCCACCCACCAGACATTATATCAACGTTTTTCTAATGAAGCACCCATATATTTTTCAAAAAAAAAAAAAGTAATGCAATTAATTCTTGTCCAGGTTCATAGCAACTAGCTTCCTAGCTTTTTCATCAATGTATCTTATGCAAATCATATCGATTTGCTGAATCCACATTTAATATATTAATTATTTCAACTTATTAATCTTCACATTAAATGCATAGGTTAATACATTGGTTGATTCAAATTGAAGTTTTTAAAATTGCAAAATTTTGTGTCATTAAATTGACAATCGAGGATATTGTCTCAACCGAAGAGGAAGGTCATGATAATCTATTGCCATCAACCGCCTAATCGGGAGCAATGGGATGATAATCACACGGGAATACAAAAATTAAGGTTTTATTTTTTCTAATTTGTTGTTCTTAAATCGAATTTTCCTATCTAACATTTAAAAAAATGCAAATTAAACATGAAATTAATTTTACTAAGTTAAATTGCAATACCTCAATATTTCTCAAAATAAAAGAAAAAAAAAACTTTAATGCTCAGAACCCGCACGGCCCAAGACTAATCGAATCTAATCTGGGCCCAAAACTTTGAACATACATAACTAACCGTCAACAAAGGGGGATGATAATCACCAACTCCGCTACCTTGTCTATCACTCTTTAGCTAATTTTTAAGACCAAAATTGACCACTAAACGTAACCTGAAAATGCAATTAGGCTACTAAACGAAAAAAAAAAAAAAATTGTAATTAGGTCACTGAACACGCAAATGTATGCAATTTCACAAGATAGCAGGTTACCACCCATTTTATAAGGTTGCCTGCTTATGTTGATGATGAGCCGTTATTTTTAATAATTTTTAATAATACACATTAAAAATAATACACTTTAAAAATAAAAATAACAACTAAAAAATTAATTAAAAAAAAAAAAGAGAACGCCAAGGTGGCCGTCGGCCACCCCTTCCCCGTCGCCCTCCTCCTTCGTCTCCGGTTGGAGACGATGAGCCTGTCTCCGTCTCCGTCTTAGGCGGAGACGAAGGAGGAGGGAGTGGCCGGCGGCCATCACGACGTTTTCCTTTTCTAAAAAAAATTAAAATTTTTATTTTTAAAGTTTATTATTAAAAATTATTTAAAATGCCAATTCACCATCCACGTAAGCAGGTAACTTGATGAAATTGATGGTAACTTGCTATTAAGTTAAATTACATACAGTTGAGTTGAGGTGTTCAATGGTCAATTTGAACCTTATTTCTTTGGAATATAATGACTTGAAAGACTCTACATTGTTTGAAACAATCGAAAAAAACTAAGTAATAAATTTCAAAAATATTGTAATCTCGACTTAATTTAAAAAATATGAGCAATACCTCAATATTTCAAAAAAAAAAAAAAAAAAAAAAAAAAAAAACTAATTTGTAATCTCTACCGAATTTTCCTATCTAAATTTTTGATTAAAAAAATGCAAATTAAACATGAGCATAATTTTAGTAAGTTTGATTACAATACCTTAATATTTCTTTTAGAAAAACATTTAATGCTCGGAACCTGCACCGTCCAAAATCATCGAACCTAGCATGATCCAAGACTTTGAACCAATGTTAGTAGTAGAATGGAACAATCGAGGACATTGTCTATAATAAATTTCAAAAAGATTGTAATTTTTGCCTAAATTAGAAACTGACATGTTCTGTCGTGTAGCTCATATTCTTACTGGTATCTCATTTTTTTTAATTATTTCTTTATGACATGTTCTCTACTTTGAAATTTTACTGTTTGTCACAATTGCTCTTTGCCTCACAATTATCTCTAACTTTAAGTTATTCTTATAATATTTTTTTTTATTTTCCTTAACTTTATGTTTGTATGAAATTAATGTTTTCAACTGCATTCTAATTTTGATTTCTAGTGCTTGAAACATAGGAAATATATTACTAGTGCACTGAAAACTAATATTTCAGTGCACTGTAAATATATTTTGTCAAACAATAATTGATTGTGTCTAAAAATTAACTATACAGTATGTGATACTTGCTCTCCAAATATTAACTATATAGGTGAATGATTCTTTATCTTGTCAACAAAACATTTCGAGCGAGCTAACTGAAGAGTCGATTGAGAAAAAAAACCAAATGATGTTTGGTAATTAGTACTTAGTAGTGTGTTTGAACTTTGATTTGCTATTTTATAATATAACTAGTTTTTTACGCACATTGCGCAATTAGGATAATGTCCAATGTTTTTTTTTTTTTTAAATAAGTACTTTAAAGTATATCAAGGCAAGATTATATTGGAATTGTTCATGCATAGATAATTGAATGTTAAATTTTTGTATTTAAATAGACAATTCTAAGTTTAGAAATGCAAGATAATATAGTCAAAATTGATTATAATTATCAATAAAATAATTGTATAGGTATGGTTGAAACCAAATACGTGACATAGGGAGCTAGAGCAGATAAAAATTAAAGCATAATTTTTTTTTGAAAAGTTAATTACTAAAATGATCCTTAATTATAGAAAAATTATTAATTTTGTCTCGAATTAACGGATATTTAACAACAAAACAAACTTGATTAAAATTTTTTAAATTAAAGAACTTAATTGATAAAATAAAATAACTAATAACTAAATTGATAATTTCGCTATAGTTAAGAGATCATTTTGATAATTAATTCAAAATTTTATGAAGTATTCCCACATTGGTTTAAAAAAAAAAAATTATTCTTGTCATTGTTGCTAATAATTTTATTTTCAGTGCAGGGTGACTATGCAGCACATCAATGGTCCGTTTGGTTCACGGAATAGACTGGGAATGGCATAGCATTTCCAGTAACAGATCTATTCTTCTGTTTGGTAACAATGTGCATTACTAGGAATACTGTTCCTAGTAATAGCCTATTACCTCAGATGAGGTAATAGCTAATATCAGGGCCCCCTGGTATTAACTTATTCCTAAGTCCTCAGGAATAGAATATTTTTTTTTTCAATTTTAACCTTATCTTTCTCGCCGTTCTCTCCCTACGTATCATTCTATCCTTCCCGATTCCTTCATCATCATCATCGATTTCTTCATCATCAACATCAAAATCAAACAATTTTTCCAGCCAGATCAAATTAAAGCATCATCAACATCAAAATCAAGCAAATCTTTCTGCGACATCAAAGGTAAATTTTCAGAATTTTATTTTTTACCAATTAAATATTTAATTATATATACATAATTATATATATATATATATATATATATATATATATATATATATATATATATATATATATATATATATATATATACACTGCTGCGGCGAGAATATTTACTTAATTTGGGAGTCATACTTAATTGTAAGTATTTACTTTTTTTTTTGTACTTTCATTTATTTTTATTAATGTATACATACAAATAATTTATTTATGTTTATTATAGAGTCACAAAGAAGCTGCCCCTTTTAGAACAAGAAGCTTTAGGTTTCATAATGAGTTATCTGCAATATATTCTAAAGATCGTGCAACTGGAAAAGATGCACAGACAGCAGATGACGTAGTTGAAGAAATACAAGATGAAGAACAGAATGATATAAGAGCTGACACAGAAGATAGTGCATTTGTTGGTTTGGATGATATAGATTTAACGAGTACACAACCTGAGCCACAAATTGAAGGTAGAAAAAGAAGCAATTCAAGTAAGAGAAAGAGGAGCCATGATGAAGCTATTGAGATATGTGCTGAGAATATGCTTAATGCTGCGAAGCTAATAAGCAATACAATGTAAGAGGTTAGTAAGAATCTGTCTGATGGTCTTCAATATGATCGTGATATGAATATGTTTCAGAAGCTTGAACGTGCATTAAAAGAGGTTGATGGTTTGACAAATGATGAAATGGACCTTGTTTCGTTTAAGCTCACTGATCATCCTAATAAAGTAGCTTTCTTTCTCAATCTTGATCCTGATCGAAGACTACAATGGATCAGAAGATTCTTTGCTATCAATTAATCATTTTATGAACATTGTAACTTGCATTGGATTGTTTTGAGTATTTTGTTAAAAATAACATATATTATGCTTCTTTTGAATATTGTTAAATGTTCTTTACAAAAATTTGTTATTTATATGACTATTTTGTTTTAAGTATTAATCACTTGATATGACGATGATGATATATAATAGTTGTTGTAATAATAATAATAATAATAATAATAATAATAATAGTTTTTGTACAAGGCATTTATGTCTTTTAAACATATATTCTATTCCTATTCCTTAACCAACCAAACATTGGAATACAGTTCCCAATGTCTATTCCTTTAGCGAACCAAACAACAGAATACAATTCTTATTCTATTCCTTACCTATTCTATTCCCTATGGAATAGCATTTCTATTCCCTTCAAATTCATTCCGTGAACCAAACGGCCCGCAAGTGGAAGGATCAATATCTAAGTACCCACAATAAATCAATTCACAAGATGGTCAAACTCATACACTAAAACATTAATCATGTATTTTTACACACAACCTATCACTCATAAATCAACTGAACCAATTTATCAGTCACTCATAAATGAACTGAACCACGTGTGTGGACTCACTATTCATCCTTCCTCCATAACTCCTTATTAGACGGAGTTTTTGGTGCGGCGTTCTTCTTCTTCTTCTTGTTTATGAAGAGCCATTTCGTCTCGAATATCAGTCTCCTTACTCGAATCCATATTAGCAACCACTCTCTGCTTCATCTCCCCGGCAGCCTCCTCGATGGCCCGCCACGCCTCCTGCGCCGTCTCCGTTGCTTTCTCCTTCGTCTCCTTCTTCCTCTTCTCACCCATTATTTCACTATACCTTCCGTCTCCCCCCGTTAGGGTTTCGCCCTTGCTTTTATTGTCTTCCGTCACAACATCTCCTCCCTAGCTTACAAACAAACATATTAGCTAGCAATCAAGTAAAAAAGTAAGTCATTATATTACTGATCTGATCGATGTGATGCAATTATTAAGCTAATAAGAACCAACTAACCTTCCAGACATGGCGGCAGATAAAGATGGAGGAGGGACTGGGGAAGAAGGTTTTACGAAGATTGAAGACGACGACGGAGTTTCTGGTCAATGCCATATTATTTCCCACTTTCTTTTTTTATTTTGATTGCTAATTATATATAGCTATGTTTTGAGAATGTAATGTATGGACTCAGATCACAGCATCTATCATATCTATGGCTTTTGGGAGTGGATTCTTAGCCCACATTATTCTCGAGGGTTACGTTGCAAATTAAGGGAAAAATGACACGTGGAGTGGTGGGTTGCCACTTGCCACAATCTTGTTCCTAACAGTTAACACCTACATGTACAGCTGCATATATGCAATGTATTACTACCATGTCCGTGATGATAGCTTTTTAGCGCATACATATACACCTATTGGGTTTATTAGTTTCGGTTTGAAAACTTGAAAAATGAATTCCAAAAAATATGACAATTATTTTGTGTTTTTTTATGAAATTTTGTACTTTATTAATATGATTTTTGTACATTGTTGTTTTGATTCAGGATCTATAATATTATATAGTTCATGATATAAATTGCTTAGTTCAATCTTTATATCATGGACCAGGATTCACAGTGCATTGTGGATCCTGGTATATGTCTAATGTGTCTTAATCTTTATGTTGTGAGTTTTTGTGTCGTGTGTTACGAAGTTTTGTACTTAAGAGTATGGATTTTGTACCTGAAATAACTTACTAATTGTGTCTTATTTAATTAATGTAAATTAAAGCATGTGCTCCATCTCAACTAAAAGCTTAAACTGATAGTTGGATTGCACATTAATGGCTATGTGCTCACTCGTCCCCTCACGTGTGCGGTGGACCGGTGACCTTTCGTCTGGCTCTGATACCAAATTAAAGCATGTGCTCCATCTCAACTAAAAGCTTAAGCTGATAGTTGGATTGCACATTAATGGCTATGTGCTCACTATGTATATGTTTTGTGTTGTGAAATTCTATGCCTATAAACACAAATTATGTACAATTTGAAAAATAAGTAAATATATAACATGTGTATGTATTTTGTGTTATGAAATTTCGTACCTTACGGATATGAATTCTGCATTTCGACGTTTCGATTCAAAATTCGTAATACTATGTGGACCCTGATCCATGATATAAATTGTCTTACAAGTTGGAAACAATAATTATATTATAGATCAGGGTCCACAATGTATATTGTAGACTATATCTAGAATATATATATATATATATATATATATATATATATATATAATATTATATGTTTATCATATATTTATTGCAGTTAACATATTATATATTTACAATTAACATAATATTTTGGTACTGAATAGGAGACATATAGAGAAGGGGGAGAGAGAGGAAGAAAATGAATAAGGAGAAAAGGAAAAGACAAAAATAAAAATAATGTTATCATTTACGCATCCAATGGGTACGTGCACTTGCTGGGCAGGGCTAGTGCATGTTGCGTGAAATACGCACTAGCAGAAGGCAAATTATATCGCATTATCGTGTTTAAGTTGGTGGGGAGTTGACGCGAGGGCGTTATGGACATTGTTCTATCCGTTTAATCCGGTTACAGTTTTATTTTTCTGTGTTTATATGTATTATGTTAAGAGTTTATGTGTATTATAAATATGGCAGTCGGCTTATATAATGATTAACGTAACTCTTCTTTCTTGCTTTATCACTCTCAAGCTAATTTCATTTGAAATGAAATTATGCTAACAGTACACTATGTCATTTCTACCATTTTATAAGAGAAATTACAAATATATTAACGCAATATTTACCTAATTAATTTAAAAAATATAGTTCAAACAATTAATTCTCCACCTTTACTTCAATGATTTATGAAGATCGTATTAATTAATTCGATAAATACAAAGATCAATAGATGATTTTCTCAGTATTTTGTCTTTTCTTTACGTTACTATATTCCTATTACCTTCCTGCAATCCTGATGATACAACAATACAACAATTCACGCGATGATACATTCGGTTTCACAACATATACAACATTTACTGATTATTTAACTTATTCTCTTACATGGTTAAAAAAATCACTAAGACGCATCGGGCACTCGAGGAGCGCCTAACGCCTAGGGCGCCTACGCGGGGATTAGTCGGCACCTATGTATTTTTTTATTTTTAAAAAATTTGTTTAATTTTTTTTAAGAATTGATAATTATAAACTATTTAATACTTCAATAGTTAATACTAAAATATTAAATATTAACCTAAAAAACATCTAGAGTTTGAACAATTTAGATTTATTTCGCTCAAAACGATGTCATTTTGAGTGAAATAACTCATTTAAAAAAGAATGGAACAATAGTTAATTGTCCAACTAGGCGACCTAGTCGGTGTCTAGGCGAGGCCTAATCGGTGCCTCAGCGGCCTAGACCGCCTAGCCGGCCAGTCACCTAGACCACCGATTATGGTGATACGCTAAGCGGCCATCCAGCGCCTAGGCGCCGATTAATCGATGCCTAGACGTGATTTTTGCAACATTGTTCTCTTATTACCCTCTTTTATAAATTATTTACATACTAATTTAATGATGAAATGACATTTATTTTACTATTCTTATCAATAGACAAGTCCCAACAACTTGTGTCAAACAATTTGATTACATCTCATCTCATTTGTAGGACACTGTTTCAACCCACTCCCTCTCTTGGCCATTCCCAAAAAGTATGAACAATTCCCAACTCAAAACTCGAAGGAAGATAAACACAAAAAACTGAACTAATAAGCTTTGGATCCTTTGCCGTGCAACTCTGCAAGTGCAGTAACCTAACCTGCTATCTAATACAAAAATCCAATTCAATTCTGATATCTCATTACCTTTGCCAGCTGGTAAAGTAATGCTCTTTATGGCATTCTCTTGTTTCAAGAAGAAGGGGGGGGGGGGGGGGGGGGGGGGGGGGAAATCCAATCCTAAATTTACTTACCGATAATTCACATTCAGATGTGACAATAAAATTATTTATATTTATTTTTCACTACAAAAAAAAAAAAAAAAAAAAAAAAACTAGAAAAATAGTCACAAATTTAACTAGGGATTAAATACCAGCGGAGGTCCTCTGACTTTGGTGACACTGCCACTTTTAGTCCTCAACTTTTAAATCAACCACTCTTAGTCCTCTTACTTTTTGTTTCTAGCCATCTATAGTCCTTCCGATAAACTTGACCATCTAATGCTATTTTCTCAAGGATAATTCAATCTTTTCATAATTAATTTATTAATTATTATGATTGCCGAGTCATACCGAGATATCCCAACGTCGTTTTGGCACAACCTTCGTACCAGCTTTTGTATGCCATTTTGATTCACGAGCTGGTTTTGTACACATTCATAGCTGGGAAACCATTGTTTGACTATTCTGATGCGGAAATTAAACATAATAATTAATAAATTAATTATGAAAGGACTGAATTATCTTTTAGAAAACGGCATTAGATGGTCAAGTTTAACGAAAGGACCATAGATGGCTAGAAACAAAAAGTAAGAGGACTAAAAGTGGTTAATTTAAAAGTTGAGGACTAAAAGTGACAGTGCCACCAAAGTCGGAGGACCTCTGCCGGTATTTACTCTTTAACTAGGGGATTAAATAGTTGCAATTTATATATTTACAAATTTTACTATTTTACCTATGACAATTCATTGATAAATTAAATACTTATAGATTTATTTCAGTAATTTAGTTATGATTTTGTGCATAAGTAAATTTAATTTTTCTTGTAATGATTGGTCGTACAGATTATTATATAATTAAAAATGAAATTTATCTTGTTTATAATCTTGAATAATAATTGTATATTTTCAATCTTAACCCAAATATATATATATATATATATATATATATATATATATATATAAAAGAGTTAGTAAATGTTTGGTCTTTGGCTCTTAGAGTATCCACATCAAAACATAATATGGAGATATTAGTACACTAATATGCGGTTCAACAGATGGGAAGCCAAGATAATACCAAAAATAATCCTCCTGCAAATGCCAAGATAATGGCAGAAAAAAGAAAAAAAAAAAAAAAAAAAGATCAGCGCGCTTAAGCGCGTTTCGCGCAGAAGAATATATAAAGCCGGGCGTCAGGCGCGCCAGTCGGCGCTCATGACGCAACTGTTTACATTCATATTTTATTTTAAAAATTTCAGTTTTGGTTTTTTTTTTTCTTTTTTTTTTTTCTCTCCCCTCCCACATTCTCTTTTCTTATCACTCTTACATTATCCCACAATTCTCCCCGACTAATGTGGATGCTCTTAGCTGACTACACCCCTAGCATACTAACTTCTTTGTCACTTTCAAATTTCTTTTATGAAAAACAAAAAGAAAAATTACTTTGGTTTAAAAAAAAAAAAAATCAAGTCAAAATTCCGACAGATCTAATCATTTGTGAGAAATTTTCCCGACATCTTTCACATAAAAATATGAATACACATAATTCACTAAGTATAATGTGTTCCTACTTAAGAGAGGAAAAAGAAAGAAAGATTTTAAAATTGATTGACAGATTTAGTCAATTCAAAATATTAATTTTAATACTAAATAATATTAAAATAGACAACAAAATAATATAGCCAGAACCAATTATAAAATTGTGAAGCCCAAGTACAACTTTTTGTAGGCAAAATAGTAGAGTATATTGGAAAAATAGCATAAAACACAAGAAATGGCAATTTAAGTGGTTATTTTGTGCCATTGTGGTATAATTATTAGTGAGGTTCACTTTTGATTTGGATGGGATTAAAGTGGATTCAGGTTCTTCGTAGTGAGACGAAGAGATTGATATGAGAGTGAATGAGTATTGATTCTCAAAGTAGACTCATTTAGTTGGAAAAATAATGTTTTTGTCACATTGATTTGAGAAGTAGGTTTACACCATTATTTATACAATGCCTTTCTAAAGCTTATTGAATTGTATAACACAGAGCCTCCCTCGCATAAGAGGGACTTATTGAATTATTATTAGTGGGTTTGTGATGGGGGTTTGGCCTACCAACAACATAAGAACACTTTTTACACTACTCCTTTCTTGCTATTGTGGTCTTGCCGTTGCTCTAGTTCGCCAGGTTCATTCATTTGGGTGCTCAAACGTTGAACCGTAGTACGTTTTATTTTGAGATACCTAGGCTACAACGCTCCTACCATTTGTGGGAGGTAGCAAATAAGGTTTTACAAAAAGAGTGATTCGCTAACTCTTGCTAACCACCTACACCAACCAGAACCGTATCCATTTGTCCTTTCCTTCCCAAAATTTCTCCCTAAAATAATAATCTTTTCGTATGATTATTATTTGGTTTTACCACGAAATATCCAATAGAGTAAATAACTTAAATTGTTAGAGATCCCGATTATTTATTTTTATTGGACCACGAACTATCTTGAACAGACCATAACTGTAAGAGGCACATTTAAACTGGTATCATACTTCACACCAGACCAACTCAATGAAGGGGCAAAGTGCGAGTGATATTGGTTTGTCAATACGAGCTGAGAGGGGTTTAAAAATCTTTTATTTTGCATAATAATCAATTATTACATAGCACCCACAATTTCTATTTCTGAAAACAAGCGTGCTGCATGCCATACCAAGAAAATTACAAAACTAATTATTATTGATATAGTATAGCTTGTAATATTGAATCATTTTGTGGTCGTGGTTTGAAACTTTTAACACAATCTAGGAAAAGTGCAGGCAAAGACAGACAAGGCCACAGATTTACGGCCATCAAAAGTTGCACTATGTGGTACAATGTCATGTCTGCCCCCAAAGATACTGTCCTTTCTTTTGACCGTTGGTTTTTTTTTTTTTTCATTTCGAATTAACCATAATAATGAATTATCCATTAAATCCATTAAAAACAACAAAAAACAAATATTTTTTAAAATATTTTTATTAATTGTAGAGACTAGAGAGGGACCAGACCATAAGCTACTTGCACCATCATAACAATAATTTAAAATGCTATGAGACAATCGACAATAAACACAATAATGAAGTTTTTTTTTTTTTTTTTGTTTTAATTTTTTATTTTACCAAAAGATAGTAAAAACCAGCAGGCTGGGCAGAAATTGACTAATCTTCAACGCGGGCAGGGAGCCTTCTTGGACGGCTCAAAAGCGAATGGACCGACGGTGAAGAGCTGGTACGGCGGCGATTTGAGCTCCGGCGGTGGTGGGGTGGGGATCAAGGGGGCTCCGGCTTGCCCAAGTTTGTAGTTTGTGAACACACTGCACTCCGGCTTGGGAGACGCCACCAAAAACACCTTGCATTTATGGAACCCGGCGGAGGTGACAGTCTTGGGCATGATCAAGAAGAACCCATTCTTGTCTGTCTTGGCTTTCTCTACCAGATGATACTTTGTGTTGTTGCATGCTAGCTTCACCACAGCTCCTGTAAAGATTTGCAGAAATGTTAGTAAATTGGAAATGCAGAAAGAATGGAGTTTAAGTAATGGAGTCACCTTCGAGGGGAGTGGCTTTGTAGAGGTTATCGACGCCCCTGTACTGGCAAGATTTGCAGTAAACGAGGCCACGGACAGCTATGGCTTTCCGTTGAACCGGGGGAGATGGGGTGGGAGGTTTGACCGGCGGGGGAATGGGGGCGGCCGGAGGCTTTGGGGAATGGTGGTGGTGGTGGGGCTTGGGAGGTGGAGTGGCGGGAGCCTTAGGAGGAGGGGTGGGAGGCTGGACAGGCGGAGGAATGGGGGCGGCCGGAGGCTTTACGTGCGGCGGCGAGGAATGGTGGTGGTGGGGTTTGGGTGGTGGAGTAGTGGGAGCCTTAGGAGGAGGAGTGGGAGGGGTGGCAGCTGGTGGTGAGTGGGCGGGAGGCGGTGGGAGGGTGGCCGGAGGGGTGTGGAGGTGGAGGTGGTGGCCGCCCTTGTGCGGCGGATTAGGGGCCGGAGGGGTGTGGAGTTGGAGGTGGTGGCCGCCTTTGTGCGGCGGATTAGGGGCCGGAGGGGTGTGGAGTTGGAGGTGGTGGTGGTGGCCGCCCTTGTGCGGTGGATTAGGGGCCGGAGCCGGCGAGAGTAAACCAGGGAGAGAATGAGGTGCCAATGCCCAACTCACAGCGCCACCATTTTCATGGCCAAGAACTGAGAATGAGCTAAGAAAAACAAGTAAGAGATGTATGAAGATGAAGGGTTTGGCTTGGAAGATAGCCATTTTCCCTAGGTTATGGTGAGCTGAACTGGGAAGATTGGGACTGTATATATAGCAGAATGCACAGGGGTCTCTCCTCATTGAACTTATTTTTCTCTCATTTTCCCCTTTGCTTTTTTAATTTCTTCTTCTTTTTCAAAAAGAAAATTTCACTATGATATGTTTGTGGGACCAATCATAAGTATGGTTAGGATAAAATTGTAACAATACCATACATCAGATAATTAAAATTGTATTAAATTTATCAACTCAATTTGAGGCAAATTTTTACATTATTATTTTTAATTTTTTTTTTTTGAATGTTACTGACTCTATTATCTGTTCATATACTTTCTCAACCTACCGAAACACAAGAACACAAGAACACAAGAACACAAGAGCCAATAATTCCACCCGTGTACCATTAGACCACATAATCTTGGTTAATGTTTTTTAAATTAATATTAATTGAATGACCAAATTTGAAACAAAATCAATAGTCGATGAACTATTTGTGGTTATAATAAAGATCAAATAGTCAAGACACCATTTATGATCCAATTAAAAGTCAAAGAATAAAAATTGATAAAATATCAATACTTTTCTGTCTGTGATGCTTTGAGCCTTTGACAAAGTAAAATTACAGTTTTGTAAAAATGTAAAATGCACGAAATTGTAACCTAGGACATTATTCGTTATTTTAAAATTAAATATTTATTAAGTAATTCGTTCCAGACTGTCTGAGCTATTTTGTGAATGGATGAATAGTGAATTAAGAGGCAAACATGTGAGGAAGTGGGAAGTGAGGACCAAAAATAGTGAAAGGGGGAGGGGTGTAGATATGGGAAGGAGAAAGGGTACTTTATTTCCATTAAAATGGAGATTCCACTTTTAATTGCAAAGAATTATAGGTGTATTAGATGCAAAGTTTTAGTACCCAATTCAAGGGGACAACTAACTAAATGCTACACATGCAGAGGCCACCTTAAAGATCCAATGTTTACAAAATAAAAATACTGTAACTTTTCTCACATATGATCAATTTACATTTGATATATTTCTAATGTCAATTCACGATAAGTTGGAGCAGGCTAATCTAATTGCATATATTTTATAGTTCAATTACACACTTACAAAAATTTCAATAATCTATTTGACACTTTTTTCAAATGTGGTCAGTGGCGGATCTAGCATGGGGCCAGTGGAGGAAGTTGTCCCCAGCCCATATGTAACCATTATATATATATAGTGATAGGTTCTCATGCGATTGAATGCTTCCCGTGCGGATGTGCGGTGGATTAATGTGCGTGAGTGTTGTGCTTAATGTGCCTGGTCGAGATTTGTACTAGATGTGCGTAAATGTGTAAAATGCAGCAGAAATTATTGATGTCAGCTTCTTCCCCATCCCCAGTAGCCATTGTCCCATCCTGATGATGATGCGGAGGCGGGCTATGGTGGTTAAGAATTATGGGAATAATACAACAGAAATCCACACTTAGCTGCTGTGCAAATTTTACTGTGCGTGCATCATCTATATAAACATTCAACTGCACTGAAGGTAGCTGATAATCCAGAATCCATGGCCAAATTGAAGGAAGAAGTAACAAGAAGTAACTCAACATGTGCTCAGCCAACTCATCTAAATCAACTCTTGTTGACATTTAATAGTTTTATTTTACTAATACTAACGCATGTACTATATATACATATATACATACAAAAATTATATATGGGTGGGATGGGGTGACGGGGGCAGCTGCCCCCTCTTTGGCTCCGTCCCTGACTGTATTATGACTTTTCTTTTCAATACACACAATTTCTTAATTACTTATAAATATTAATTAATGGTGAGATTCACACACACACACACACACACACACACACACACACACACACACACACACACACACACACACACACACACACACACACACACATATATATATATATATATATATATATATATATATATATATATATATATCTTTTCTATTTCAATTATTTTATCAAATTAATTATGTTCTATATTTTGTTGTGAATATTTTTATAAAATTTTGATGTGTTTTATTTTTCGCACATATCCAACAATATTTATGGCTATAAGTGTTTCATTTTTATGGCTTTTCTTTTCAATACACACAATTTCTTAATGACTATAAATATTAATTAATGGTGAGATTTACACACACATATAATAATAATAATAATAATAATAATAATAATAATAATAATAATAATAATAATAATAATAATAATAATATGTTTTCTATTTCAATTATTTTATTAAATTAATTATATTTTATATTTTGTTGTGAATATTTTTATAAAGTTTTGATGTGTTTTATTTTTCCACATATCCACCAATATTTATGACTATACTTTTAAGTGTTTTATTTTTTTTCTTCAAACTATCTCTTTTGTTATGTTTCACCCCCACTAAAATTTCTAGATCCGCCCCTGAATATGGTTTCTCTTAGTATGATAATTGATGGTTTTATTGGGACCGGGTCCACCATAAACCGGGTACAGAGAGTACAGAACGGGGGGTAGGGCGCTAGGCCCAACACGATATGTATAGAAGCCCGAGGTACAGGCCCAAGAACCGCGACCCAAATACAAAGGACAAGGCCCACAGGATGGGCTATTGCTAACTATGCTACTGCTTGGAATCGAACCCAGGTGACTGGATTAAGAGTATGAGATCAAGACCACTGGACTAGTGTGCCTGTCGTGTCCGTCGTGCCCCTTAGCCAAAGATCCAGGGCTCCTATTTATAGCAAACCCCCCTCCTCCATTAGCGTCCACGTGTCCCATGCAATCCATCCCCACTTCCCCACTCCGCTTGTCCCTCGCCATTTACACCACGTTCTCCGCCTTTCCCGACTCCTATTGCCTTTGCCACCTCACTCACACCACCCCCCCAACTCACCATGCTCGGCGCACCCACCCCCGCCTGTGGAGACCGCCCGAGCCCAACGCCGCGGGACGCCGGGGCTGCACGCCAAATGCGTCGGTTGCGCCACGGCCACGCTGGCCCGTGCCCCGGGCGCGCTGGTCGCGTCGCGGCCAGCGCCCCGGCCGGCGCCAGCCCTCGCCCGGGCCGCTTGCGGCCACCCCAGCACGCGCTGGGCGCCGAGGCCACGCTGGCCCGCGCCCAGGGCGCGCTGGCCGCGCCACGCCCGACCGGGGCCAACGCCCCGGTCGGTGTCGTCGCTGGGCCACCGCCGCCGGCCCCCGCCTGGGGCCGGCCGTGGCCCCCACGCGCGCCGGGCGCTGAGGCCACGCTGGCCCGCGCCCAGCGCGCGCTGGGCACGCCACGGCCGACCGGGGCCAGCGCCCCGGTCGGCGGCCGGGTTTGGCCGCCGACAGCTCCTCCTGGCCTTCCGGCCCAACTTTGTCCCCCCCTGGTCGGCCCAACTCCATAAGCCCTCTGCGTCCATGGCCCACACCCAATATCCCCATCACACCACCATGCGTGCTTGTCTTCCTAACCCAACAAGACTTGGTCCAACCTCCTTCTTTCACCACCCCCACTTGGGTTAATACTTTCCCAATAAAATGGACCCCTAGGGTCCCATATCCCCATCAATAATATTTTCAACCTAGGCAACCACATGTTTTGAGAGAGAGAAAAATATATTACCCCATAATTTACAAGAAAATATATGAATGCTGTTCTAGTTTCTAAACAGTTATTAGGTGATTTAAGCAACATCAAATCAAGATTAGTTTTTCTTTTCTTCCTTTAAAAAAATCTTTTGGATGATGCTTCAAAAAAAAAAAAAAAACTTTTGGGTGACCCTATTTGCGCCTGAAGAAACGGCTACATTTCAGTCATGGCTTTCCTCAAATTGAAAAGTAAATCAAACAGTTCTTTCAAAAAAAAAAAAAAAAAAAACAAAACAAAACAAAACAAAAGATAAATCGGATAAAGCTACACAAACTAAAAATTTTCACCTAAAATTTTTTAAACAAAAATACTACGGAGTACCTGTATTCTCAAATTCAACCCCCTCACAAATTTTGGTGTAAATACTCAATAGTTCAGCAAATCCCCACACTCTACTTTGAGCATAATCCCCACAATGCCGCCTCTCCCTCACAAATCTTGGTGTAAATCACAGTAACTCAATAGTTCGGGCAAACCCACACACCCCACTTTGAGCATACTCCCCACACTGCCCTCAGCAGACCCCCACACCCCACTTTGAGCATAATCCCCATCCCCACACTACCCCACTGCCCTCAGCAAACCCCCACACTGCCATTGCCTTCAGTAGACCCCCACACTGCCGCCGAGATCAAACCTTGTTCTAATCCCGTTTGGAAAAATAAAAATGTCTTATCCATACTTATACTCTATATTACTTAATTTTTACTATAAGAGAAAGGAGAAAGCGAATACCTACATATACATCAAATGTTACCATAATTGGCTCCATCGAGACTCAAACTCAACACCTCTCACATAAAAAAACAATTTAGTACCATTAGACCACAAGGTCCTTGGTACTCTATATTACTTAATTAATAAACATTTGTTGGAGCAATAATAAAGGTAGACCATATGTAATAATATAATATATTAAATCAAATATTGTAATGCCGAATGAATTAAACAATATAATTAAGCATATAAATTTGGGACATAATTATGTCATATAGGATTTAACTAAATAATTGGGTTATGGGTTAATAATTATGTATGGTCTTACGATAACCTTTTTAATTTACTCAATTATTTTATTTTATTTTTTTGAAAAGCATTTAGTACTTATTATTATCAATGCCAACTTATTAAAATAAATAAATAATTTTATCAACACATATTTTTTTGCGTTTTATATGTTTGAACCTCAAATTTAAAGATCGCTCATTACTCTTATCTTAAATATTAGTGGATATGATCAATCACGAAATATAACTCAATTGACACCTTACAATGGATAGCGAACTTATATATAAAATAAAAATTGTTTACTTCTTGTTAACACCTCATGTTGTAATTGGTCTATTAAAAAATAAAATTCACAATTTTTATTGTTTTTACCAATAAATTTAATATATACTCCGTACAATAAACTTATCATTTAACCAAAAATTTCAATTTACTTTTTACTATTATTACTCACTCGAGCAGCGTGCAGTGTGTGTGTGTGTGTTTGAGACAGAAGGCAGACAGTACTATTTTTGAAGAGAGACTTTTATTGGTGTATGTGCCAAGTTTCTTCCCTATTTCCATTTACCAAATAATCTATTGAAGGATGTTTGGTACTTTGGTTGGAAGGAAAAAATTAGATAGAAAAAGAATAATGTGAGAATAATATAGAAATTCAAATTATATTATTTGGGTAGGGATAAATATAATTATTGAGAATGGAAAAGAAAAAAATCGTATAAAAACTAACTTGTCTACTAATAATAATAATCAAGGTTACTTTGAAAGCATTAAATTGCAATTCAACAAAAGGAGAAAATTGTAGAGAATTGCAAATTCATGAAATTGCAATTCTCTCCAAGCAAACATTGTAATTTGTCTTGCCATTGAATAAAGTAGGAAAAGAATTCCAATTACATCCAACCAAACACCCCATGAATATAAGACTTTGTTATACTACATACTCCCAAATTTACTCCTTTATTTGAGGCACTGATAGACTATTTTCTTCATGTGAACCCATGTAAATGTGTTTATATCAAAATTTTAAGTATGAGCGTAAAAGTTCAATTGTTATTTGTTATACAATAGTGAATCCTAATACAAAAATTATGTACTTTCAATTAACATATTATGTACCCAATTCTGTACATGTAAACAAATAACTTAATAATTACTGACACATAATATGATAGCTACAAGTACAAAAATCATCAATGGCAAGTAAAAAATATATCAACTATAAATACAGAATCTGAATTATATTTGCTAACACATAATATGATAACTACAAACACAAAAACTATCAACTGTAGATATAAAATGTGTCAACTATAGATACAAAATCTAAAAGTGATTTTTAGACACGAGTCTACAATGCAAGGTAAATATTGGTCCATTGTATAATTTGCCGTAAAAGTTGAAAGTAGAGAATGAGAATACATGGAGTATTTTCCAATTTAATATGCATTGACACAAGGTCCAAAACCATTCAAGGAAAAAAAAAACTAAAAAAAGCCTAATCATACAAACAGTTTAATGCTCTTTAGATGGTTAAAAAATTCCTCAATCCCCAGGAAGGTCATCAATCAAATATCACTGAAATAGGGTTAGAACAACAACAGCACTAGTTTGAACTTTGAAGTACAGCCACTTAAATTTCTGGCCTGCAAAACAAAGATGAGAATATGAGTGATATCAGCACACTTTAAAAACTAACAGCAAAGGAGAAATTGATAAACATAATTCCGGCTCAAAGCATTCTAGAGCAGAAAGCCAGAAACCGATTTACTAACAGAAGCCAAGCAAGAACAATGGTTTTGATAAATGATAAGTTCAGGGACGCATTTAGTTAATTAGTTGACATAGATGCATAGCTTTAACCCAAGATAATAGCTAGTTCTAGGATCACGAATGAAGAGGTTAAACATCATATCACTAATGATTTTAAGGGCGCTCTCATTACCAGTCTCAGGAGCTTAAAAAAAAATCCAGTTTTTGCAAAACAAATGTGCTCAAAACCACTATAGCTTATAGATATAAACAATACATCAAGCTTTTATTAGTTTTCTTTTTCAGAAAAACAAAACCTTATTAATCCAGGAAAGACAAAACATATATAAATACAGAGGAAGTCTAATGTCTGAGTACTAATTCAAACTTGCATAAACCATTGGAATGTATGAATGGCAATAGCATCCAATATGCAAAATACTCATAAATTGATCAGAGAATTTAACTATCAATCTTAATCAAATCTAAATACTAACCGCAAAATACAAAGCCCTAATTCATTACCTTTAAGATGCTGCTTCGGTGCTTGGCCCCTTGTCCTCTACATCATTTGCTGCACCATTTGCCTCAATGCCTTCTGTATCCTCTGCAGGCGGTTGAACCTGGTCTTCTTCGGCCAAAGGCTCCTCCACATAATCATTCTCAAAAGCATCTGCTGGAACTTCATAGATTCTCACTTGAGGCTTGACCGGGTCCTTAACAAGCACATATTTACCATCACTCAGCTTCATAAACAAGTCCACAATGCTCTTCACAATTCCCCACATGTTAGAAGTATTCAAATTGATTTGGGCTGCAAAGTCTCTCGGCTTATAACCCACCACAGCTAATATCACATGGTTATAGTGATCCCTAGGATGAACCCTGGAGACATACCCCAACTTCATCATATCTGCACTAGCCAACAGGGCTTGCGCAGTCCATTTGGCAAGCTTATTTGCATTGTTCTTTAACTCGGTAGCTAAAACCGCACCCCTCTGAGTCTCCAACTTTTGTCTCCAGTCGACCCCCGAGAACTTGGGATCAAACTCATTCAATGCATTTAGTGTCAAATACGATCGCTGGTTGTTCGCCTCCAAAACACTCTGTACCTCACACCGAGCCACCAGATACATATCATCATCCAACTTCCACCTCCTATACCTATAAGCCACCGAAGCAACCTCCTCGCCTTCACTAGCAAACGGGTTAGGCTCCTCAAAAGTGACCTTACTACCATCCCTTATCAGGGCTTGTTGCGAGAAATTCTGGTTTATATAAGCAGCCTCCACACTAAGAGAATAAGCTGAATTGATATCATCCTTAACATCAGGCAAGGGCTCCTGAGAAGTCTCGTGCACGGAGAGCAAATCCAGCTGAGACCCTTCACGCTTATCAAAGAATAGCTTGTTCCCAACCTTCTGAATCACTATATCCCACGAATAAACAGATCTAGGAGAACACATTAGGGTTGATAAGATGGTATCGGTAGCAAAGACCGTGGCTTTATCCTCATTGGCTAAACGTCGAATAACGGGATCATCGGTAGTGGTGACCTTGAAGAAATTGCGGTTTTTGAAGCGCTCAAGTCTGCGATCACTCCTGGGAGTAATGCGGTCGAACGAGCGATCATAGAACTCCAGGCCGCCGCAGATGAGCAAATCTTCAGGTTCGGGAACGGAGAACGAGAGCTTCGAGAAAGTGGAGAAAGGAATCTGGTCAAGCATGTTCCATTCCGGCTGGATATCGACTGAGGATTTGAACACGGAAGACTCGCGGCGCGAGGCAGCGTTGGTACCGGAACGATTGAGGTTGTAAAGGCGGTCGCGACGGGCGCGTTCCTTCTCGGCCTCGCGCTTCCGAGCCTCCACCTCCTCGTCACGGCGTTGGGGGAGCTGGGAACGCTGGTGGTGGGGGTTGAACCGCCACCTAGGGTTGAATTTGGGGCGATTCTGGCCGTGGTGGTGGGACTTGGAGGCGGTGTCAACTAAGCGGAAGGAGGAGTCCTCGTCAGCAGCTAGCGTGGCGAACGAGTCATCTCCGGTGAAATCAAAGGCACTGTCCACTGCATTCTGTTTCGTGTTGGATCCGGGTCGGTTCTGATTAGACAAAGAACGAGTCCAATCGGCAATTCGTCCCAGCTTATCGGAGCGGGAGAAGGGTGCGAATGGCACGTGATTGGGGACTGAGATGGAGCCGGCGGTAGTGGATTCAGGCGGGCCCCAACCGTCGGCGTTAAAAGGTACCGCAGCAATGTCAATACCCACCATTCTGGGATTTGTCTGTTACTTTTTCCGGCAGCTTTTCCTTAGAGCTATGGAGAAAGAAGACTATATGAAGATAAACCCTAGTTGTCGTTAGAACCCAAGTCTCTGTCTGAAATTTAGAATGACTTGATTTAGGATTAAGAAGTTGGGCTTCTTTTTATTGTTGGGCTTGTAGCCCAAATAAAAAATTTGAAACATTGTATACTAACCCCTGGTTTATTGGGCCTGTAGCCCAATATGGACAGAGGTTTTTTTTTAAAAAAAAAAATTAAGAAAAGGATATATAATTTTTTTTTAGCTATACTAGGAAAGAACAGAAAGACTCAAGAAAAATCACCCAAATTGTGGTCAAAGTCAAACCAGCTTGGTTGGTGTGAGTGGCCGTACGCTCTATCTCTTAAGAGAGATTAAAGAGACTAGTCTAAATATAGTAAGTGGACTTAAAGATGCATCCTATAATTAAGGTCTGCTCAAGACAACTCGTGCTATAACAAAAAAAAAAAAAAAAAAAACAAAACAAAACAAAAAACAAAACAAAAAAACAAAATTGTGATCAAATCAAACCAATACAATTTGTTGTGAGTCTAACATTATCCAACTAGTCAAAAACGACCTTGTTATAAAAAATTGTTCTCTTGTGACAAAAGATAAAATCGTCCACCTTAACACGATAAAATTGTGAAGAGGTAATTCATAGTGACTCAACTTATCAACATAGATTAGACTTTAGCTCATCGCGCACAAAGAGCTCTCTCATTTTGTAAAATTTATATTTCTCTATACATATGGATGAACAAAATCTCACGTATTTACCCAAAAGCTCTCAAATGATAAAAATAATATTAAAATAGGAATCCTTATCATTCTTATATTTTATGTTCTTGATAGTCGCACAAAAATCGATCCTTAAAACATATAGACCAAACTAGCTTAAGATAGTAGTAATTAGTAAATAACCTAAAATTTTGCACACGAGAGTCACCTTTCAATGCAACCACTAGCATAAACAAAACAAAGCTTATGAACTTATTTTGATTAGTTAACCAGTTAAGTTATGTCCCGAGTACACCCTCGTGTTCAATCTTTGATTGATGCATATTTGATCCAACAAAAAGTGCATGCTAAAAACATCAAACTAAACCCTAAAAATCTCTCAAGACTTTATCACGGGCAATATGCAACACAAACAACCCATCTTGTCAACACAAACATGTGAAAACTACAAAGTAAAAACTTTATGGGAAAACAACACCAAAAATTCTTATACAGACAATAATATCATCTTCATAAAGTTTCATGTAGGGGGGTACTTGTCTCAACTTGGGGATCACGGATGGCAGCCATTACTATCCCTGAGAAGACTGCAACTTTTCGATTTTACAGCTACTTGTCAAGATTCATGCACATGAACAACACTTAAGGTTTCACTTTTCGAGACACTAGGCGAATGAATGTGAAAATATCCATTGATAGAACATGCAAATCGGTAAAGTTCACTGCATAGAGAAGGATTTTACGATATTTAGGTGTAGTAAATAAGATATTTTTCGTTGATGCCCTGCAAGATGATGACAGTGCAGAGTGTCTATCTACATACCTTATGTTCGATGGCACGAAGAAAAAAATCAAGTCCCTGTATAGTTATGCATTTATTTGGCAACTCAATTAATGTCTCGGGGGGATGGAAACGTTGAATAATCACTCCACTTCATCATTCTTAGGAAAACAAGAGATCATGGGAACACGAGATGCATGCAAGTATATCATCAAATCATATCATATCATATCATAGAAATGCATAATAGAAATGATAATGACTATTAACTCATCTTATTGAACAATGTACCTTATGTCGAATGCTACTGGGTAATTTATCTGAAGATAACAGCATTTGCCAGATGGTAGACCTGTAAAAAAGGGCGACGAATAAAGAAGCAATCTTGCTACAAAAATAAAAATAAAAAGAGAAGAAAATGTTAAGAGGTGTAACCTTAAGTCAAGCCTTGCCCCGTAAGTGGATCATTTACACAAAAGATTCGATCCCTAAATATATCAGAGTATGTAATTGTTCAATCACCGATAGTATCACTTGGCCTTCACTGGGTATGTCCAACCATCGAGTGTAAAGCATAGATTTAAATAAAAGAAAATATTCGTACAAGAAAGCTAAAATCATACTCGGAAGCTGCAAAATGCCGAAAATTTGGTAATCATTTTTGTGTATATATCACGTAAGAAACTACAAAGGCATTCAAGCCCATTATGCCTATCACCTAATCATTCACACTGCATAAAGTGAAGAGGAATACAGGGGGGAAAAAGGGAAAAAGAAAAACAAAAAAGGCTTGAGACATTAACCTCTTCGGTTACAATGAGGCCTGGAGAAACTAAAAAAATTCCAGATCATCAAGAAACATCAAGCAAATCTAGGTTTTGGCACGGAAAATGAATCTGAATGCACGGGACCAAGCTTTTGGATCCAATGGAGACGCCCCTTTTTATGATCTTGAAACGTTAAACCATGCACTAGACTCAAGGTCCCATCATTAGCAAGTGAAGACTCAAACTGCTCTAAGATCTTAACAATCTGCCAAAACTCGGGCCTATTTTCTGGATGCAAAGACCAACAGTGTTCAATCAAAGCTTTCATGGCAGGGGGGCACTCCACGGGAATCGTTGGTCTCATATTCTGATAGATACGAAAGGTTTAGTGTTCAAGTTCGATTGCAAACCAGTGACACGACAAACAATAAACTAAAAGTTATGAATTACCTTGTTCACTACAGCAAAAGCTGCTTGAACCGGAGTCATATCTTCATAAGGGATGCATCCAGTCACGAGTTCCCATAAAAGGAGCCCAAAACCATACACATCAACCTTCCGACCATAGGACTTACGTTTAATCATCTCGGGAGCCATCCAACGATAAGAACCTGGGTCATCGGCCAGGAGATCACAATATGCCTCCTCACAAGCTATCCCAAAATCAGCTACTTTGAGATGAAACTCCTCATCAATAAGTATATTCTCTGGTTTGAGATCCCTATGAATAATGCCTCGTGAATGAATGAACTCCATTCCTCTTGCAATATCCAATGCCATCCCAATCAATTTCTGTAAGGGGAGAGCCTTGTGCTCTAGCTTGTGCAGGTATGCTCTCAAAGAACCTTCCGGTAGATATTCAGTGATAATGCAAAAAACTAGTGGCTTTTTGCATGCACCTATGAACTGCATCAAAAAACCATTATAAACCAATCAAAAACGTTCTTGCAAGACACGAAGAAACTTTCATTAGATGAATGTAAAAGCAAAGAACTTTAGTTGTTAAAACCTTTATAACATTTTCATGGTGGAGACGAGACAATAGTGTCACTTCCCGGTTAAACTGATTCTCCAACCGAGATCCTAGATCATGGTGTTCATCGCCATCTGGCACTCTAATAATTTTCACTGCAACAGGTTGATCATTGTATATCCCATGGTAAAGCTGACTATGTGCTCCATGGGCAAATTTATGTCCAAGATAAAGCTTAGAAAGATCAACCATATAGTCATCCACTGAATCAATGGAGGTAACTTTTCCCCCACCATGATCAAAGTACTTAGTCCAAGCTGATTCCTTTCGGCTTTTTGTTTTATCATGGAACTTCATTGAAAGAAAATGGCGTAGGGGACTACTTTGTCTCGGAGACTTTGAACTTGGTCGTTTTGGAGAGCTTGTCCTGATCTCATTGAAACTCTTGTGCCTCAATTTGCCAACAAACCCTTTATCATGTTCCTTCCGTCGTGGATGTGGTGTTGAAAATCTCTTCTGAATAGACCGAGCTTCCTTAAAGGTCTCGGAAAGTTTCATTTCAGGGGAGGGTGACACCGCCCTCTGAACAGTCGGCCTCGAGATGGGGTTGGCAAAACTCGTGCCAGGCCTAGATTTCAGACCGGGATTTCGCCCCTGCTGAATGGTAATCGGGAGAGACGCCAATCTGGCTGCATCTAGCCTATGGCAAACCGTGTGAGAGTAATTCGTTCGCCTAATCCAAGAGTTAGCCTCTTCAGCCATCTATCTCCCTCCCACCTACCTACCCTACAGCACCTGGTAACCACTCAAAAATGTGTTCTTTTCTCCTTCTTCACCTCAGAATAAAGTGCAAATTTAGCAATCCCCTCCAGAATGCAAATATGATCTCGAAATTCCCATGTCAACAGTTCATCCAAACTCATCAAAATAATTGGAGAAGCAAATTCTCAACCATTAGTACCATGCAAGAATCCTGCAAAACCCCAAATTTCAGTCACCATTATAGTTTAAATTAAACAGAGATGCTCTCAAAATCTATGTTTGCTTGGCAAAAAGATCAAAACTTTACTCAAACCATCAAACTCAGACCCAAACCCAAAAATCTTACCTCAAAAAACAGAAGGAAAAATGAGAATTTTCAGCTTCAAAGTCAAACATCACCGCCTTGGCGCCTTCCTTCAGAGCCTGGAAAATCCCATACACAACCCAGCCGAAAACAACGAATTAACTAAAACCCAATATAATAAAAAAAAATCAAAATGATGAAATTGAATATTCAAATGCATAGTCAAACAGCATGAAACTATATTTAAAAAAAAAAAAAAAAACAAAACAAAACAAAACACGATTCACGATTAAACCCATTAATCATCGGACCTAATCGTTGATCCAATGCAAACAAAAAAAAAAAAAAAAAAAAAAAAAAAAACAGAACCCACGAAAAAAAAAATGACGCATTTCGGAAAGAAAAAAAGAAAAACAGATCGGAGTAGAAGTACCGTTACGGAAAAGCTTTATCGGGTAATATAATCTCCTGTTCTTCGGAAGATTCCCGAGTAAAATTAACGATCTTTGACAAGAATCTCACTGCCCTTCTCTCTCTCTCTCCCTCTCTCTCTCTCTTCTCCCCACTTCACAGCTGCACCAACCTAGAGAGATGGAGAAAATCAGAACACCATAAATTGCAGCACTATCAAATTCAGCTCAGAACACTATAAAAATATAAATATATATATGTGTACACGTGAAATCATACGTATATTGTATGTATGAAGAGAGCTGTAGATGATTACCGTGGACCGGTATTGATCATTTGATTGGTGGTGGCAGGGGGTGGGGGGAGGAGCAGGGGGGTGGTGGGAGGCGGGCCCCACCCGCAGAAAGTCAAGAAACCAGAGATGTCGAGAGAGAAAAGAGAGAATACAGAAATCGCTATCGGAGAATTATTGAGCTACAGGCAAAAAGAAAAACACAAATTTTATTTCACAAAAATCAGATTTTTTTTCCTTATTTATTTAATTTTTTGTGATCTACACTTAAAATGTACGATTCGCACGGATAAGTGATTAGGGGTTACTGTTTTGGCAAGGATTATAATATGATAAAATGATAATTTCCATCCTTAAATTACAAATAATAATAATAATAATAATAATAATAATGATATTTTTTGTTCTTTAAATCATTTTTGTCTCTCAATTATTTGTAAAGTAACAATTTTAAGGCACAGGGGATTAAAAACCCCAAATCAACTCTAATTAAATTTAAATACGAAAAAAATCATTTTAGAGACGATTGGAGAAAAAAAATGATAACGGATATAATTAAATGACAAAATTTGTTATTTTTCTATAATTCAGGACCAAAAGAATTTCCCTTACTATAAATTTATAATGCATAATTGAAAACGAAAATTTATTATATCACTGGGTTATTTCTTAAATTAACAATTTATAAAAATTCAATACGATAATATGTTAATAACAAACTACTCATCCAAAAGAGTGGATAGAACAAGATTCTTGTACATAAAAAATTACGAGTTTAATTCTTATCAATACTCTTAAATTTACTGAATATGTACCATTTATTATCAAATAGGGACAACAAATTTGTTTTATCACTCAAATAATAACAAATCACGCTTTTACATAATAAATTTCAAAATTGATCTCTTTTATTAGTGGAGCGGGTGGGAGATGGGCCATGGGCGTGGTATATATGGTTCATATATAAAGTTTGACCTCCACAATGCCACAAAATATCAAATTGCTACATTGGTCCCCGAAATGAAACCGTCCACAATGTATAAATGTGTCATGTGGCACATTTCCACTGGTGAAGGGATTTATTTCATTAATAATTTAAATTTATAATTAATCATTTTAATTAATTAATTTGATTGTGGTTAATTAAATTAAGGAAAATGGTCAAATACACTTCTAAACTTTACCTAAAAAGTTAATTGAACTCACAAACATGTTATTTTAGAGCAATGAAACTCATTAACTTGTTGGTGACTTGTAATTACATGTCAACTAGGGTTCTGGCCAACTCCGTCAAATATCAGCGACCGACGACAGTCAACTAACGAAAATTGCTTATCAAATTATCCTTACAAAGCCATGATTATTTATCTGTGATTCAAATCCATCATAAATTTTATTTTTCTTAGAGCATCCACAATGGTGGAGCTATTTTGCGGTTTTTAAGGAGTTTTGTAAGTATGATTATGAAAGAGAAGATGGGAGGAGAGAGAAAAAAAAAACCAAAACTAATTTAAAAATAATAATAATAATAATAATAATAATAATCAATGGATCAGTCAGGCTGTCGGCACGCCTGGCAGTTGCTGTGCGCGAAACGCACACAACAACTGCTCTCTCTCCGCCAACATGGCATGTTGATCTCAAAAGGCGTGAATAAACTCCATATTCACCTCTGATATTAATGCTCTTAACTCACGTGAGTAGTTGTATTTAATGCATATAGTATAATGAATGATTTCATTGCACCGTTATATAATTCTATCACACCTAAATTCTTAACATCTAGTCTATGGTATAGGTGGCATTTTTTTGGGGGTACATTTATAAGTGACACATTCTGTCAAATGTAATCCCCACAAAGACAACCCAAATTGGCAAAAATTTCTTAGGTCTTGGCATGCACTTGACTCATTTACTTTGTATGCATGTAGAATAATCAATGGCTAATTAAGGAGTATATATGCAGAGATTTTATGAGTGTATATATATGTAGGGTAGGACAGAAGATTGTGGTGGGTATATAATATATATATATATATATATATATATATATATATATATATATATATATATATATATATATATATGTATGGTTTGGCAATTAGCAATTGGCAATTGGCAATTGGCAATTGGAATGATATGATGTGATGGTGACAAGTTGTAGGAATCAAAGTTGCGTTTAAGGAAATGAAAAGTTGGCAAATAGAATACGCAATTGGAATATATAATCATAATTATGACTAATTTTGGATGGTGGATTTCCAGCACCCTCCTGGCTCCTACAAAGGGATATATGCTTACTCCACACGCACATTATACATATAATAACTAATTATTATCATAATTATGAGTATTTTGTTTTTTTTTTTTTAAATAAAAAAAACTGTAATTATTCTTTGAATTTTAGTGTGATTGACGTTTTCCACCCGTCCGTTGGTTTGCGGGTAGGCGACAGATACTTTGGTGTGCATGCTTCTACGGTCACTCATTGGGAACAAGTCAAACGTGTGTTGAGGTATGTCAAAGGACTCTATCTTATGGTCTACGTATCCGAAAATCTGAGTCTAGAGAATGCTCTCGAGTGTGCCACCATACCTCTTTTAAGCCAAAACCTTCCTATCTCACAAAAACACAAAGTGTGGTGATAATGTATAGCACAATGCACATTTTAGCTTAAATGGTAAAAAATGAGCGCTACGTTTTACGTTGCTAGCCCGACGCCTCATACCGTTATACATCAAAGCATATGAGGATTGGGACCGCACCATGCATGTGCCCCGTCTATTTTACTTTTGAGAAACTATCCCTATTTATAGGACGAGAGGAGGAGGGAAAATAAATGCAGGCAATCAAAAGGGAATCACCACAAATCGAAACGATCAAAAAGAGGATAATCAGGATATTTTTCAAACTCACTTTAAGTAACATAATGATTTTCAGAAGACTTCTATAAGGGGTGGATGTGTGGAAGACTAAAGGTATTTTTCATATTTTAGTATAACCGATCATTAATAGTACAATTATATGATTATTTTAGAGAGTAAACCCAACTAAGTTGGTCTGATAGTTAGTTTGGTAATTAAAATTTGAAATTTGATTTTTTGTGGGAACGATTTATTGACTTTATTGAATTGACCCAATTAACTACGAACAACTTATGCTAGTTTACATCTCATTGTGATTCTTTGTCAATTACATTAAAATTACAAGGTAGGTTTAGCTGTAGCTTACTGAGAAGATGCATGCATACAATCAATGCAATTTGGACAGGAATTGAGCTTTGATCTTCTTGAGTGATACTAAGGCAACTCCCATGCTTGGTCTTTCCCCAAACAATTGTGTGGAACATCTCAACCCTAATTCCATGATTAAGGTCACACACTCCACCTTTGCCGCTGCTACACCAACATCATCATATGATGATATCAACATATTCTCTTCCATAATGTGCACCATTGATGAGTTATGTAGTGCTGCAACTACCCAATCCCTTATGTTGAAATCTCCGGAGAATGAGTTGTCTATAGGTTTTTTTCTTGTGAATGTTTCCATCACCAAAATCCCGAAGCTGTAGACATCACAACTCGTCGATACCAAGCCCTCTGACCCATATTCTACATCCATTAGTGTTAAGCGCGGTGAGCATATAATATACAAAAGGACATGCAAATCACGTACAAATTTGATCGCCCTATTATTGTTGGTTATGCAATTCAATATATGCCGCCCTCATTGTCAATTTTAAGAGATTGGTTTAGTTTCTCAATTGTTGAAAAAAATTGTAAATTTAATCTCTTTGATAATGGAAGTCACGAAAAAACGTTCTGAACTAGGGTTGTTAGAGAGTTGTTTTAGAATTTGATTGACAGCATCTAAAACAAACTCACAATTTTACAAATACTTATTTACTTATAATTAAAACGCTAAAAGAGTACATCATCTAAAAACCCTAGTTACATTTCAAACTTTTTCTTTTTGCAACTTCTGTTAGCAACAAGACCAGACTTATAATTCTTTGAACAATTGAGAAATTATATTTTTTAAAAAATTGACAATGATCAACTAAATTGCATAACAGGCCATCATTGAAAAATCAAAAGTGTGATTTTTCTTTTTCTTTTATAAACTATAAATTTGCCATCTAACGATCAGTTTATTATTTTAGTTGAGACAAAAATATATATTTCAATTAAGCAAACATTGCTAACACAAGTATATCAAAAGTGTAACTGGCAATGCATATGAAAATCAATAAGAACACATATTGATCGAACCTTACCTGGTGCAATGTATCCCATAGTTGCTAGGGTCTTTGTTCTTACAGCGCTATCCCGACCTCCACCCAACAACTTCGTAATGCCAAAATCACTAACATGAGCAACCATATCCTCGTCCAATAGGATATTACTAGGTTTCAAATCGCAATGAACAATGGGAATAGAATAGCCATGATGAAGATACTCCAAAGCGGATGCAACATCAATGACTATATCCAATCTCTTAAGGATGTCCAAGAAAAGATTGTCAGAATACAACAATTTCTCCAGGCTTCCATTACCCATGTATCTTAGTATCAAGGCTTTAAAATCCAGGTTTGAGCAACTAGTGATTACTTTGACAAGATTCCTATGGTGAATGCTACGAAATACCTCACATTCCACATCAAAACTCTTGAATGCCCCTTCGATTTCCAGGTTGAAAACCTTCACTGCAACATTTGTCCCATCCAAGAACACCCCTTTGTAAACTGATCCATAGCTTCCCTTTCCAAGAAAGTTTTCTTGGCTGAATCCGTTGGTTGCCCTTTCAAGCTCATAATAAGAAACTCTCTCATGTGTTATAGCAGGAAATATGGTTGTTCCAGTGGGGCTGCTTTTTTTCCCTCTAAACCTTAAAAACACCAAAGTAATGCCAAGAACGAGCAGAATTGATATTGATCCAATTGGGGCTAAAATTAGCAATAGTTTCCGGGTCTTGGATTTCATGGCAGTTTTAGGTGAATCAGGTTGACAAGGAGGAAATTGCAGATGAGGAGAGCCACCACAAAATGCAGGATTTGACAGAAAAGAATCTTGGGTGAAGTTTGCGAATGGGCCTTTGGTTGGTATTTCTCCAGAAAGTTTATTGAAAGAGGCATTGAAATGCTTCAAATATTGCAGTGATTGAAATGAGTTGGGGATGCTACCAACCAGTTTATTCTGAGACAAATCAAGTCTTTCTAGTGCCACTATGGCACCAAATGAACTGGGGATTGGACCTTGTAATTGGTTCTGTGCCAAAGAAAGATTGATCACCTGATCTAGCCCTCCAAGTGTTCGAGGAATTTCCCCATAGAAATTATTCCTTGACAGATCTATTTCTATTGCAACCTTCAAACTTCCTAGCTCTTCAGGTATGCTTCCATTCAAAAAGTTTGAATTTACATATATAGCCAACAGATCATGGAGGTTTCCAAGGCTTGCAGGTAGAGTAGAAGTGAGCTTGTTATTGTTTAAGTAGAGTCTCCTTAGAGAAGTCACATTTCCCAAGCATCCTGGAATCATACCAGTTATTTGATTTCTATTCAGATATAGGAAACCAAGATTCTTCAAATGGCAAAGAGCTTCTGGTATGGGCCCTCCAATCCTGTTATCATTAACACCCAAACCTTGAAGATTGGATAATTCTTGAAAACTCATTGGAATAGATCCAGTCAATGAGTTGTACCCCAGATTTATTGTTACCAAACTACTCAGGTTACCCAGTTCTTGTGCAATGGTTCCCTTAAGCCCAGAATTCCTTGCAAGAAAGTATTGCAGAGAAGAGAGATTCTTTACAGATGAAGGAATGGTGGCATTGAGAGGATTGTATGAGAGAGACAAGTATATTAGGCTCTTGCAGTTTCCCAAAGAATCAATGAACCTAAGCTCAGGGTAAGGCTCTGTGAAAAAGTTAAATCCAAAGCCTAGATGTTCAATAGATCTTAACTGGCCTAGTGATGTTGGAATCGAGCCGTGGAATCTATTGGTTACCACATCAAAAGTTCTTAGTTTAGAAGCATTTGAGATGGTGTGTGGTATGACTCCACTTAGATCATTAATCCCAATAGACAACCACTCAATATTGGGGAGGTTAATGTTGCCTGGAAGATTGCCAGAAAGGTTGTTTCCGGTGAGTGAAAGGAGGAATAGCTTTGTGTTGTTAAATATCCCTGGCGGAATAGAACCATGCAAACTGTTGGAATGCAACACTAATCTTCCAATGTTACGAAAATCTCCAAATTCTGATGGAATGGAACCTGCAATCATCAGTATCCAGAGACACACAGAATTACATACAGAAATCTCAAGTTTATCAATCCAATTATCTTAAATCTTCGTCCACTTTTGAGGCGGTGGCCGGAAAAGTTGGTCAGAAATTGACGATTTTCCAGCAGCATATAACAAGAGCAAAAACAAAACAACATGAGAGAATTGGATTTTTGTCGTACCTCGAAGATTCAAGTCTCCTAGGCCTAATCTAGTGAGCATGGTTAAGTTCCCAATTTCTCTTGGTATTGTCCCAGGATTCATGAGAGGATTCGAGTTCAAATCCAACTCCTGGAGCATCGTCATGTTTCCAGTCCCTCGAGGTATGTCTCCGGTGAACATGTTCCGAAACAATGATAAAACCTGGAGCTGTGAACACTGGGGCAGACTTGGTGGCAGTTGGCCAGACAGCCCATTCTGAGAAAGAGAAATCACTCGGAGTCTTGGCAGACTTTGACAGATATCCCGGGGAAGATTTCCAGTTAATCTATTATTCCAGAAGTCAATCACTTGCAGGGATGTAATGTTGAAGATTGTTGCAGGTATAGCGCCTGTGAGTTGATTAAATCGTAACTCCACCTTCTCCAGCTTTGAGATGTTAAACATGGAGTTCGGGAGACTTCCTCTGAAGCTGTTATTTGACAATATCAAGATTTTAAGCCGAGGCAAATACCCCAGCCATGAAGGAAGCTCTCCACTGAATTTATTGTCTCCGAAACTCATAAATCTCAGCCTGCGTAAATGCACCAGGTCCCGGGGTAAACCGCCCTGGAAATGGTTGCCACGGAGGTCGAGAGAAACAAGGAACGAGAGGTTTCCTAGTTGTGGAGGAAGGCGGCCTCCGAGATCCATGAACGAAAGGTTCAAGGACTTGACTCTCTGGTGGATTAGACCGCAAGTAACCCCAATCCAGTTACAAACCGAGGCATTATTGGTCGTCCAATTCTCGGCTAAAATGGCATGAGGATCATAAGTGATTTGGGCACTTAAGGCAAGAAGGGCAGATTGATCAGTAGATATGTTATGGGCAGTGAGTGCAAAACTACAAAGCAAGGCAACATGGAAGAAGAAGCTATCCATTCCTGTGTGTTACGTTGAACAATCTGACATTGGAAGTTGGAACATATTTGTACCAAATTCTTACGTTGTACTGTGTGAGTGTGAATAATGATGTTTGGTTTGGATTGAGCATTAATGGTAAGTTAAATTTTCAAATCTGTCGGCCTACGCAGGTATACCTATACCCAGGCCAATTATTTTGATGTGGTTACTGGTTACGTGCATGCTTTAATGCAAACTTTGACAATTGTTAAATTTCATGGTAACGTGGTCATAACTTATGCTACACCAACACAATACTAGCAAAAGTGGACCTAATGCTTTTTTGGTGAATTTTGGAACACTAACAACGTTTTTTGCTAACGGGATGCGAGGTTTTTAAGCCAATTCTTTCTCTTGCAAAACAAGTTTTTTTACAGAAGAATTTTTTTCTTTTTTTTTTTTTTAAAAAAAAAGAGTGTCGAATTGCGTGTTAGGCGCACTTTGCGGCTTTGCGCCCACTACTGGGGCACGTCAGAGTGGCCGCCAGCTCTAACGCCACAACCAGGGGCGGATCCAGAAACTTTTTTCAGTGGGGGCAAAACATAATAAAAGAGATAGTTTGAAAAAAAAAAAATGAAACACTAGTATAGCCATAAATATTGTTGGATATGTACGAAAAATAAAACACATCAAAACTTTATAAAAATATTCACAACAAAATATGAAACACAATTAATTTGATAAAATAATTGGAATAGAAAACACATTATTATTATTATTATTATTATTATTATTATTATTATATATATATATATATATATATATATATATATATATATATATATATATATATAGTGTGTGTGTGTAAATCTCACCATTAATTAATATAAGTCATTAAGAAACTATGTGTGTTGAAAAGAAAAACCATAATAAAGCTGTATTAAATAAAATCATATAGTAAGATTTGAACCTAGCTTAGCTATTCATAAGACTAATCACATGCTTTACCACCTGATCTAAGAGCATCCTCATCAATTGTTAATTTTTCACGATTTTTGATGTGCCAATTAGGAGAGAGAGGAGGGATGAAAAAAAGTTAACAATTTTTTTTTTAAGTATCAGTTCTTTCCACAAAAAAAAAAAAAAAAAAAAAGTATCAATTACGCACCCAGTATGCACGGGCCTACTGGGTGTGAATATTGGGCCACACTCGCATTAATGCACATACTGTAAGAGGCACTTTTAAGCCCATACCATACTCAGACTAATCCACATTCACACTGGGCAAATCCAATTAAAGGACAAAGTGCTGGCCAGATTGATTTTTCTAAAAGAGAGGGTGTTCGAACTCTCGATCTCTCTTAAATTGTGAGAGTGCACGGCTACTCACGCCAACCAAGCTGGTTATGAATCATGTTTGGTTTGGGTTGAGCATTGGGAAATTTTCAAAGTTGTCGGTCAGCCAAGGAATACCCAATTATTTGCATGCATGTGATTACTTGTTTTAATGCAAACTTTGACAATTGTTTACTTTCGTTACACCCCGGCGGCCCGGCCTGTATGCATGGTTACCTACGAATGCTGCTACTTCCTAGACTTCTAGAGACTTTCCTATGTTGACTAATCTTGTAAGTTGTTACTTCAATTCAATGCAATGTAGGTGACTATATATGTTGTAGTCCTTGGTAACAAATCAAAGTAACACTTTCAACTCTAGGTTCAAGCAACATATTATTAAAATTGACAAGTTAAGGTTTATGTGGTCGAGAATAGAGTTGCAAAATATTTAATTTGGAAATGAAAATATTTATTTATTGATATTATTATTATTATTATTATTATTATTATTATTATTATTATTATTATTATTATTATTATTATTTTGAGTGACGAGAAAAACTCACGATCATTATTTAAAATTGTGCATTGGATAAATCCTAATCTTATGTAATATATATATATATATATATATATATATATATATATATATATATATATATATATATATATATATATATATATATATATATATATAAGTAATATAACTCGCAAAATACACCTAAAAAATAAACTCTACTAGAAAAATCTTATGCGACAAAGTATGTTGCACAGTGCGGACTTTCCTAGCTAGCACGGTTTACCTCTCTTGTGTGATTTTCATATTATTACACAAGAGCAGGGTTTACTCAATGCATACATTTGACTAGTGACGACAGATTTTTCTTGTCACATAAAAAAAACTTAGGGACATTTTGTGGACAAAACTAATCATTGTCAATATAGATTTCATCTAGAATAACCTTGTAAGATTTGAAGCAATATATTTGAAAAAGTTAGGTTGAAATACTATCATATATTATATTAGAATTGAAATCAAACATTATAATATGGGTAGAAATACTATATATCAAAATGGAACAAAGACACTTATGTTGAATATAATTTCATTAATTTAATATGCATTTGGAATATTTGTCGGATTCCATAAGATTAATTACAACTTGATTTCTATGTCTTCAACATTATTCAATTCATAGTCATAGTATATTAATATGGAGTAATTTTTTTTTCCCAATGTATTTTCCGACATCCATATATAGTTATATACTAGTATGTCAAAAACTTTTTAATAGTTTTTAATTAGGTTAATTAGATGGAAAAGTGATGTTGGACAGGAACTTAGAAGGCAAAGTCTAATATCCTATTATCGAAATACATCAATAACTGATACATAAATATAATAAAGGGTGAATCAACGATTTGGTCCCTCACTTATTCGCGACTTGTCAATGTTGCCCCCGAATCACGTATTCATCGATTTAGTCCCCGAAAATAATTGTTTTTCGTCAAATCAGTCCCTATGACCATATTCCGTCAAGTCTCAGGCGAAAGCTCCGATTTGCCCTGAGCATTTTGGTCTTTTCACGCCTTCTTCTTCATTCCATCGTCGCGGACGTCAGCTTCACCTCCGATGATGAGTTGTTGACCCCAAACGTCACTCTCCGACGAGTCATCTAGTCGTGGTGCACCCTCCACGCCTCCCACGACGTCGAGCGCTTCCCCACCCCAAAGCCTCCGGTGACCAAGTCTCACATCCTAAAGCTCCTCCGGCAAGCCAAGTCGACGCCGGAAATGCAGTGATGCTTCTCAAATCAATGCTCGAAACCACAACCCTAAACCCCTCGTTATCACAGCTCACGACAAACATAAACCCCTCCTTTTCCTACCAAGTTGTCCAAATCTTGCGAGACAATTTCTCCGGCAAGGCCTCCAAATCCGCGCTGCACCTACTGGCCAACGTTTGCCAGAAAGGGAGGAACCGGATCAAGGCGGCGGAGGCCGGGGCGGCGACCGTGCTGATCGATCTACTGCTGGACACGAACGAGAAACGATATTGCGAGTGGAGTCTGAGCGTACTGGAGCAGCTTTGCCGGTGCGCGGAGGGGCGGGCGAAGCTGCTGAAGCACACGGCGGGGCTGGCGGTGGTGTCGAGGAAAATCCTGAGGGTGTCGAAGGTGGCGAATGAGAGAGGTCTGAGGATCTTGTACTCCATCGCCAAGTTCTCTGCTACTCCTAGTGTGGTGCAAGAGATGTTGCAGCTGGGAGTGGGGGCGAAGCTGTGTTTGGTTATACAAGTGGATTGTGGGGTTGGGAAGAACAAGGAGAGAGCTACTGAGATTCTCAAATTGCATGCTAAGGAATGGGAAAAAAAAATATTTTTATGCTTGTAAAGAATTACTCCGTATTCAGCTTCTCTGCTATGTTGAGTGACAATGATAACTTCATGCAACACCTACATATGCATTATATTCCATGAATCCTGTTGTTGGAAGCTAGTGACCTCTTCATATTTTATGTCTTGTCCTGCAGAAAATCCATATGTGCTTTTGATATCTTCACTGTCTGGCATTTGTTGCATCCAAAAGTGGACACAGCGAAATCTGGCAATGACCATTTGGCATTTTTAAAAAACATGGTTTTTTGTTTTCAAGTGAAATAGCCATGAAGCAGAGACTGAAAATCAATCTTCTAACGAAAACAGAGTTCACCGTGAAATTAGGAAATTTCCTCTGCAGTCGCAGCTCACACTCTGATGATGTGCCTCCATAAAGATCCATCACAAATATGCCACCTTTCTTGTTCAAGACACTCAACGCATGCACTCGACGAGCAGAGAAGAGATGGAGTTCAATTCCCTCCGGCGAGCTTGAGCTTCTCCGGCGAAGCTTTGTCGGAGTTAATGAAGAAGAAGGAGTGAAAAGACCAAAATGCCCAGGGAAAATCGGAGCTCTCGCCTGAGACTTGACGGAATACGGCCATAGGGACTGATTTGACGAAAAACAATTATTTTCAGGGACTAAATCGATGAATACGTGATTCAGGGGCAACATTGACAAGTCGCGAATAAGTGAGGGACCAAATCGTTGATTCACCCTATAATAAAATAAAGTTACATATATTTGTAATAATTATAGTTTTTAATGTAGTAATAACTAATAAGCGTTTGATTCTGACAAATGAATATATTTCTAAGTATATTTGTCAACATACAAGTAATTAATTAATTAATTAGCTTATATATCCCAATATAAGTAGCATATTATTTATTATATCTCTTACATGCATGTATACTGAATAAGAATTCGAGTATAATGAATACTATTACATATATCTTTTACGAGTACGAGTATATATTTTGCTTCTTTTTTTTTTTTTTTTTTTACAAGAAGCAAACTTTATTAAGCTATAAGTCTGGGTCGCAAAGCCCCTAAGATTATACAAGAAAGCCCATTTAACATTATTGGGCAACGAATGAAAAGAACGATACAAATACAATGCGATAATAAGGCAATCGTTATACCGTGCACCAGGGCACGGACAGCAATGTGCGCTCCGCGTCTCCCAAAACGATGTCGTTTTGTTAAGTTGTTAAAAAAAATCTTCTGTTTCGAATGCACATAAACTCATAATAGAATACACATAAACTCATAACAGAATATACATAATCTAACATAATACATAATACACATAAATTCTTA